ACGGGGGGGCCGGCGGCTCGGGCACCCGCATCTCCACCAGCGCCGGCTTCGGACAGGGCTTCCGTGGGACCTTCCAGCTCAGCATCACTGGCAGCGATGTGCTGCTGGCTGGCAGTGAGAAAACCACCATGCAGAACCTAAACGAACGCCTGGCCTCCTACCTGGAGCGGGTGCGCTCTCTGGAAAAGGCAAACTCCCTGCTCGAGAGGCAGATCACGGAGTGGTGCCAGAAGAACACCACAGACGTACGGCAGGACTACAGCTCATACTTCACAACAGTTGAAGAGCTCCAGAATAAGGTACGACACCATACAACCATCTTAAGTACATGAATTGCAACTACTGCAGAAATAGATAATAACCTATGACAGGAAATGTACTTTTCCAAACTGCAATTGTCTCAGCTAAGAAAAATAAATGCTTTATTTTGATCATTTACCAATTAGTGACAGATTTTACATAATTGGCAATGCTAGATGTATGTCTGCAGATATGAGTAATCTCCTACATGTTGAATCAAAATGAATTCTATTTGCCTTAGTTTATTTTAATTAGTGAAAGTACTGATGTCAATTTACATATTTAAATATAGGTTAGCATCTGTTGATTTCAAAGTGAGTTTTTTAGAAAAGAATGACAAATGCTCAGAAAAAAAAATTGATTACTCAAAATAGTAAAAGACCACTATGAATAATTAAATATTCCCACAGGAATCAGTTAACAGATTTGTCACATTATGTTTCTAGTGAACTTGTTAAATTTTTCCTCTCTTACTTTTCACCAGTTCTATTTCCCATTGTTTGGAAGCAGATCCCTTCCAGAAAGCAGTTTGTCCCAACTAGTGTGCATATTTTATGGCAGGATAACTTCCCTTTTGGAGAACCCTAATTCCTTCTCTGCACATCAAAGGGAATTTAGCTTAAACCCAGATGAGTAATAGACAGCCAAAGCTGAGTGAGATGAAGCCCACAAGTGGTATTCATCTCCAGAAATGGATCAAGTGTGCATTTATGTGCAAAAAATCATCACTTTTCAACCATTCCTTTTTAGATTAGTGCTGCACAGTTGGAAAATGCGAGGCTGGTCCTGCAGATTGACAACGCCAAACTGGCTGCTGATGATTTTAGACTCAAGTAAGTTCCATGATTGTTTCAGAAATTCTCTCTCATGCTTATCTTATTCATGAAAGCTTCTAGTTATTGGTATCAAAGCTGAGAATGAAACATTTTCTAATGTAAAGTTTAATAAAAAGAAAAACTTTACACCTAAGGCTGCAGTGGTTACCAATTCTAACATGGATATCAAACGTTTGCATTTTCATGTTGAGAAAAGAAGCCTTATTTTACAGGTATGAGAATGAACTCCTGCTCAAGCAAAGTGTCGAGAGTGACATTCATGGACTGATCCGAGTTCGTGATGACCTGACCTTGACAAAAGCTGATCTGGAGTCACAGATTGAAAGTGTGAAAGAAGAACTAGTTTCTCTTAAGAAGAACCATGAGGAGGTGAGAGCAGCTGAGCACTGTCAGGGAGCGTTTTTGAAGTGGCATACATCAACTCAGCCTGGCTAGGAATAATGAAGTCTTCATGCTAATCTGAAAGAATATTACACTTACAGTGAGATTCAGTTCCAGATTAGCTCATCAGAATTTAGGTCCCTCTTCATGTATTATCTATGTGAATGTGCCTGTAGTTCTATTTTATTTAACTGAGAGGCAGTCAGTAAACCAGACAAAGTCTAGAGAGTGATTCAGCTCACTGCAGAGTGAGGACTACTGGCTGGTCAGCTGGGATGCTCTCTGATCACTCCTGGTTTTAAAAGGAGCTCTGGCTCCTGCAGAGAGAGCTACAAGTTAGATATGTGTGCTCGGTGTCTTCCAGGAGTCTAAGCTCCAGCTGAGCCTCGCCCTTAGTATTACATTTATAATTTCAAAGACCTACAAAGGTAAGAATGTTACCCAGCCATTATTTTTTTCCCCTTTACAAGTAAAGGCACAAACTGTAATTCTAAACTCAAAAAAAAAAAAAAACCAAAAGCTCAATTATGGCATAAACCCAAGCCTCCTTCTTAATGTCATACTACCAACTTCAAAAGTGTAAATTCCTTGTCACATTGCAGAAAAGATGTTCTGTAAGCACCGTATCTGAAAGATCCAACCTAGAAAAACAGGCAGCCTGGCCACCCACGTAAAACTCCGCTGCGCAGGACCGGGGCGGCTGCACCATTTCTGGCAGCAGGGTAGCTGTGCATGGCACTAACTGGCAGCCAGGCAACGAGGCACCAAAGGCTGAACAGCTCCAGCAGCTACAGGGTGAAGGTTTCCTTGAAGAACAATGTATGGTTTAGGAGCTGCTGCCCCTCAAAAGTACACAAATGGGAACCATGATGTCTGGAGGCGTTCCATAGATCTGCTCCTGAGGAAATCATCTTTTGATAACATTTGTCTGTGATACAGTGTTTATTGCTACAAAATAAGCAAATTGTTCTACCATGAGGTGCAATAAACAGTATTTGCAAAGTGATTAAGTTATCTTGCCCTGAGATGCTAGTCACAAATTGCACCTATGCCTGTAGGTTTTGGTTTGCTTCCAGTGTTCAGGACTGGCAGTAGCTGTGCTTATCAATGCTCTCTGCTGCAGGAGCTTGACCGGCTGCGCAAACAGGTGAGCGGCTCAGTCAGTGTAGAGGTGGATGCTGCTCCAAGTATTGATCTGGCAACTATTATGGAAAAAATGAGACAGCAATATGAAGAAATGGCAGAAAAGAACCGTCAAGAAGCCAAAGAGCGTTTGGAAAAGCAGGTAAGGTCAATCACTGAAACACCAACAAGAACCTCAGCTGAGTCTATCTGCAGTTCACAGCCCCTCTGTTTTGGTGTTTCAGACAGAAGAACTGAACCAGGAGGTAGCGATCAACGTGGAACAGCTCCAAGTCCAAAGGAGAGAGGTCACCGACCGGAGACAGGTCTTCCAGAGTCTGGAGGTGGAACTGCAGTCCCACTTTAGCATGGCAAGTAATAGAGTATTCGAAATAAGGATTGTGTTTAGTAGACAGCTGCACCGATAAATACAGAAACCAGGCAGCTTTTCAATCAAAATGTAATTTTAACACAAAAACATAGCCTCTTGAATAATAAATACAGCTTTGTTCTTTCCATTGGCTGTAGAAAAAGTCTTTAGAAGACACTCTGGCTGAAACCGAAGCACGTTACAATTACCAGCTAGCCCAAGTACAGGAAGCAATTGCCAGCTTAGAGGCTCAGCTGAGGCAGCTCCGAGCAGACATGGAGCGTCAGAACAGTGAGTACAGCGCTCTGCTGGACGTCAAGACGCGCCTGGAGGCGGAGATCACCACGTACCGCCGGCTGCTGGAAGGGGAGGACAGCGGGTGAGGACACACACGCTTTGCGTGGAGGTTTAGTTACACATGACACAAACAACATCACAAATGCTGCCTAGATTCACAGGAGGGGAAAGTGTAAAAGCTGCTGCTTTCCAGCTGGTTTGAGGGCAGGGGGCATTGGCTGCCCGGTTCTCAGCTGCAGATAGGAACAGGCTGCCAGTCATGCTGGGTTTCAGAAGCTGCTGTGGAAGCTGGCTGAGTTTGTCTCAGCCTCTGTATGGGTATATGCTGTTACTCCTCGTGAGGGGAGTAGCTGGATAGATGTTCACACTCCCTAAGCATCAGTAATTGAATTTTCAATGGACTTGTCCATAGCTGTAAAGGCTGTAGCTTCTGCAGGCCTGGGCTAACCTGGGCTAGGTGTGTTTTAACCTGGGTGAGACACCACAGCACCTAGTCACACTAGAGTGGGTGCTCAGCAAGAGCACAGTGATCTCTTTCAGCCCATGGCAAGTTTTGCAGCCTGCTCTGAATTATTCTCTGCTCTACCTGCGTCACTAGCAGCCAAGTGACTGAAAGATGTGAAGAGGTGAAAGCAAGCTGACATGAAATGTTCAGCTAGTCCAACACCCAATGCTCTGCAGTGAAAAGAGCAGACACCAGTGACAGCAGGGCAAGCAGCCAGCGGTATGCCCCCCACAGTTCTGCCTACTCAGCTGCTCTGGCTCAGGAACTAGACCGGGCACATCTGCATGAGCCAAAGTCACAGCACAACAGAAATGAGGCTATATATTAATTTCACCCATAGCTTATGCTTGTCTTATGCTTGAAAGAAAACTCATTTAAACACCTGCTTAAATGTCTTGATGAAAGGACATTGCCTGTCTCAGTAAACAAACGTACAGGAAATGCACAAGGATGTGTCCTCAATACCTTAGGCACCATATATTTACATTTTTTAATTTATAATTTGAACAGACATTTCCAAGTGGATGTATCCACAACAGAGATCGAAAAAGGTATGTCACAACAACTTCCCTGTCTTTTAATGGTCACCTCTTGAAATGTTATGGAACTCAGTAGCCTGGTAGAAACCAACCCCCTTTCAGAGCAAATAGCCAGTGGAATCTTACACCCTGAAAGCAATCACCTGTATAAACAGATAGCCTATAGAGATTATATAAAGCCCAGGCACACGTGTGTAATTCAGGTGTGTAAAGTGAAACCACAGACTCCTCCCAGAGCCAAGAGAACAACAGAGAATTGCTGAACCCCCCTGGAGATTCTGGAGCCCCCGCTTCCCTCCCTGCCCACACGGGCAGAGCAGGCTCCTAAATAAGTACCTAGTTTCATAGCAGAAATACCCATTTGAGCATAAGATACTCCTGGGGTTTAGGGCTCCAGGTCTGTGCTAAACTGAAGTCAAACTATCAGGAGGGATAGAGGGTTATTCAACACAATGTCCACTACAGTATTATGGGTAACATCCAGGATGTTCAAAGAAGAAACCACATCCTGCACACCCCAGAGTTTACCTCCCAGTAACTGGGCAGTGCCAAGCTGCCCTGAGCTCTTCCCTCTCTGGGGGGATCACTGCCAGCACGGCAAGAATATCACTCGGACTATAGATATTGCATTTAATGAATCCTCTGCTCAATTTCACTACCAGAATCAAGTAAAATCAAGAAGATCAAGACGATTGTTGAAGAGGTGGTTGATGGCAAGGTTGTCTCCTCCCAGATCAAAGAGATTGAAGAGAAGGTGTAAACAGCACCAGCACAGAGGAGCCAACCTCTGAGCATCCCAGAGCTGAGCCCAAAAAGTAAAAGATAAAATTTTATAAATGATCTAATCTAATCCTCCCTAAAACCCAGAAGGGTTCAAAGATGCTAAACTACCAAATCCCAAATAATCTTGTTTTGTTTTGTTTTAGGGGGTGGGGGCAGCAGGTCGGGGCATGGGTGCAGTATTAATAAAAATCAGTAAGTTCCAAAGTACAAGATTTTGGGTTTACTAAAATAGTGACTAAACACCTTGATGAACAGAAACGAAGTCAGACAGTTATAAATGTATAATTTTTTCCAAGACAGAAAAAACCCAAAGTATTAGTTTTTACTTACATCAAAGTCTTACACTTACATTAAAAAACCTGCTCAGTAAGAATTAGAAAGTCAAATTATTTATTGCATGAATTTACTATAGCTTTTTAAATAATCTAAATTTAATTTAGAAAAACACTGAAGCAGTGTTTACTGTTGAAATTTCAAAGCACTAAGCTGGTGAAAGTCACTAGATGAAGACAAGGGACAGAACTTGCTCATGTGCTTAACCAGCTCTGCACCGTCATGGCCTTTTCTGAAAGCACTGTGAGAATTTTTTCTTCATGTTTTTCATACAGCTCACTGCAATATCTGCTGTCTTAAGTTTTCTCACACTTTCAACGTATTAATAAACAAAAAGTTTTTAGAAGGGAGCTGCTGTTTCCAAAGCCTTGGTGGACACTTCATCAATGCTTCAGAAAAAATAATTTATCAGCTACAGATGATACACTCTCCATCAAATACGTTAGTTTAATTGCAATCCAATGCTCAGCAATCTATTTCTTCTCCTGTGTATTAGCACATGTAGAGTAGATCTGTTTTTCAAAATGCATTAAAGTGTTGATTCAGCAAACCTTCCCTGAACTTCAGCCACCATCCAAATGTAGCTTCACTTCAGTAAAAACTGATTTTCAAATAAATACAAAGTGTCAGTTTGCATTTAATAACAAATTAAAATTAATAAATAAATTGAAGATTATTATTTATTAATTTTTCACTCTCTGTGCATGTTTATATCAGCAGGGACTAGAGCAAGCAAAGCTATGTTATCAGTAAGAATATGTTTTGTCTTTCAGTTCAAAAATTAAAAGACCATCATCCCCTTACAGCTTCTCCACGTCAAGAGCATGTCCCCTTCCCCACAGTGCTGGGCTCTGCCCCACCCAGAGCTCCAGGCCAAGGACTCTGCATTTTCCTCTTGACAACATAAACACAAAACCTTCTTCCTTTTGAAATCCCACCTGTGCTATTTTCTGTATATAAACAGCTGCTAAAGAAAATAATCCTTTGCTTTCACTCTCACGAGTCACTGATACCAGGCTATCAATTCATTTTGTCATAAACACTTTACTTAAACCTTTGATCTCCTGCTCATAATACATTTCTGCCCAAAAAAGCACCCATGCTCCTGGATGCAGATGAATCAAAACTACATTTCAGTGGACAAATCCAATGATGTAATTAAGCCAGGAGAAAGAAAGAAAACATTCTCAGTTTACCAAAATAACTTCAAAAGAAAAGTATACTGGTTTCGAAGGGTTTCCATGTCTAAACCTGCAACCAGAAGAGCTATATTTGAGCTTCAGATTTATGTTACAAAATGCACAAAATACAGGAACCATGTTCCTTATTTTTGAGATAATAGTGAACTATTTAGAAGAAACAATGGTTCATTTCCAGCACAAAAGTATGAACTGTTGGTCTAGGCCACACATATTACACAGAGATACATCAGTGATGAAAGATTATGGGCAGAAAAACAACTACAAATTCTATTTGGTAGAATCGAGTATCTTTATGTTTTCACACTGTCTCTGAATGCCCACATGCCTCTTCAGACGCTTTTGTTAATCACATTTTTTACTTCTTAGTAAATGATCAGGGATCCCTGATCTGGCAGAGGGTCATGCCAGAGAAGCACTATGAAGAGAAACACATTTTTGCCATGTGGGAAGTGTGCAACCACCGGGCTCAGGGCACTGCCTGCGGCACGCTCCTGTAATGACAGCCCCAGACCAAGAAAGCAGTGAATATGGAATGACAAAAATAATTATTTAGGGAGGATTTAAATGTGAGAAGAAATTTTTGTGCTTCATTGCACATGACAAAACATTATCATGATGCCTTAGCTCTACTCCACCCATTTCCCTTCGTACAGCAAATACCTGGAGGGCACTAGATTTCCTGTCTCATTGGCAATTGAGATGGGCACATATCACTCGGTTTGGCCAGGACATATTAAACTGACTTTCCTCCAAACAATAGAAAGAGCAGGAATTAAAGATCTCCTGAGGAGGTGGGGACTGCCACCGTCAACGCCCGCTGCCCTCCCTATAAGAGGCCCGGTGCCGCTCCCCGTGCAGCGAGCACCACCAGCACCATGGCCCTGTCCGTGCGCACGAGCGCCGGGTCCCGGCAGTTCTCCTCGCGGAGCGGGCTGGGCGGGGGGGCTCTCAGACGGGGGCGGCTTTGGTGGCAGCACACTCGGGTTTGGTGGTGGAGCTGGTGGAGGCTTTGGTGCTGCTTCTGTGCTTGGTTCAGGCTCTGGCTTTGGAGGGGGTTTTGGGAGTAGCTCAGGTGGAGGCTTTGGGAGCAGCTTAAGCAGCGGCTTCGGTGGAGGCTTCGGAAGCGGTTTAGGCAGCAGCTATGCAAGTGGATTAAGCAGTGCTTTCGGGGGAGGTGTTTGGCAGCAGCTCAGGAGCTGGTTTTGGAGGTGGCTTTGGCAGTGGCTCCGGATCTGGGTTTGGAGGTGGTTTTGGCCCTGCTGGCACTGGGGATGGCGGCCTTCTCTCTGGCTCAAAGAAAGAAACGATGCAGAACCTCAATGACCGTCTGGCTGCGTATCTGGACAAAGTGCGATCCCTGGAGGACGCCAACACCGAGCTGGAGCACAAGATCCGCGAGTGGTACGAGAAGAACGGCCCTGGCGCCGCCGTCCCCGGCTCTGGGAACGACTACAGCAAATACTGTCCTGTCATTGAGGAGCTCCGAAACAAGGTAGCAAAGCAATGTACTGAACCTATCTTTACATCTGTAATTCACTAGCAGTATTTTGGGTAAAAGTTACAAATTCTTTCCAGAAACCATGAGGAATGTATCCTGTGGTATCAACACTTAGGATAAACTCTGTCACACTGTGCTGGTATTGTGATGGGTTTTTTTGGTATACTAACAGCAGCTCTGTAGCCACATAGTGCTGGGTGACCTGGTCTCATTTGAAGGCGGCACTAATGGAATGCAGTCCTACATAGCCTTGTAGATTACAAAATTTAAATTCTAACAAGCTTCATATTTCTTCCATCACAAATTCAGTTCCTGAAACAGACCGGGCTGACAAGGGCTAGAGAGTTTAGAAACCACCCAGGCACAGAAGGCAACCAGCGTTCCACCACTAACGGAATCAGAGAGCTGGAAACGTGTCCTGTGGGCTTTCAGAGTAAATTAGACCACAGTCTAACACATTACATTTAATATGATAATCATAGCTGGGATTACAGTTATGTAAGTAGCTACACTGAGCTGCAAAGCTATTGGACTGTGAAATCATTCCATGAACCTTGTTTGTATTTCAGATCATCAATGCAACCATCGACAACGCCAGAATCATTCTGCAGGTCGATAATGCCAGACTGGCTGCTGATGACTTCAGACTGAAGTAAGTATATCTGAATATTACAAAAACTACTACTAATATTTTAGGGGAAAAAAAAATTTCTCTTTAAGTCTCTTTCCTTGTAGAATACTTTAACATATTTATTATAATATTATAACAATTATGTGTACTAAAATGTCTTATGAAACATTATATATTGCATTTGACCTCATTAACCACATAAAAAGCCCCATTTAATTACTTTATTTACAGATATGAGAACGAAGTGGCTCTTCACCAGAGCGTGGAAGCTGACATCAATGGTCTGCGCAGAGTTCTTGACGAGCTGACCTTGACCAGAGCTGACCTGGAGCTGCAGATCGAAAGCCTGAATGAAGAACTGGCTTATCTCAAAAAGAATCATGAAGAGGTACTTTTTTCTTCTCTTTATGAATTCGTAACAAGGCAGATACAATTGTGAAATATCAAATTGTTTCCTTATCTATGCCAGCAGGAGGTCCTTCGTTTCATTATTTGTTTTGTTTGTTGTTCTTTTCTGAGTTTACTAAGCCAGTGAACAAAATACGCCCGCGTGCTACGGACTCTTGCTGAAACAGAATTTGTATCGCTTGTATTTCTTTACATATATGTTTGGTTGATCTGTTTTCGCTTTTTTAACAGAAACTTTATTTTCAATCTCTCCAGGAGCTTCAGGGCATCCAAAGCAGTGCATTTGGCCAAGTCAGCGTTGAAATGGATGCTGCTCCAGGAACCGACCTGACCAAGCTTTTGAATGACATGAGGGGACAGTATGAAATCATTGCTGAGCAAAACCGCAAAGAGGCTGAAGCATGGTTCAATGAAAAAGTAACAACCAGTGACAGCAAATGCAGCTTAAAAATGTAAAATTTAGTTAAAAATGTGTTAAAGATTTGGAACGGTAAAATTACACTGTGTTTTTCCTTCTCATTTCAGAGTGGGGAGTTGAAAAGGGAAATCTCCACCAATACTGAGCAGCTTCAGTCAGGAAAGAGCGAGATCACGGATTTAAAACGGACTCTGCAGAGCCTGGAAATCGAGCTGCAATCTCAGCTTGCCATGGTTCGTTCTAAGGAAGCTGCTAACTAGTCAGAGTGAATCTTCCAGTCAGAAGCAGATCTTCCAAACCAGAAATGTGTTTAGATCTTATACTATTCTAGAGGATTTAGGATTTGCACTTATTTCCTATTAAATGCTCCATTCTTTCAGTTCCTGCATAGCAGTAATATATATATATTTGGATTGCTAGTACCACGTTGTACAGCAGATGAACTTTAATGTTCACATTCAGTGAAGCAAAGGCCAGTTTTCAAACTGGTATTTCAAGGAAAAAAAAAAATCTCTAAGTAATGAGGCTATACTTACGGCCATTGAACTATTTCAGTTGGTTTTGTCTTTGTAAAGATTTTTTTACTTCAATCAGAAATTATTTAATATCCTTCTTACGCAGAAAAAATCCCTTGAAGACACGTTAGCAGAAACAGAGGGAGGTTACTGTGCTCAGCTCTCCCAAATGCAGCTTCAGATTGGGAATCTGGAGTCTCAGCTGTTCCAAGTCAGGGCTGACATGGAGCGCCAGAACGCAGAGTATCAACAGCTCCTAGACATCAAGACTCGCCTGGAAATGGAGATTGAAACCTATCGCCGCTTGCTGGACGGCGAGTTTGTGTGAGTAACAAACCCATGAAATAGCTCCTTTGGTTGAGGTAAAACCACGTGGTACATTCACCAAAAGAAAGTGAAGCCCATACAACGACACTAAAATAGCACCACCACACCCTGCCTGAGGAGAATAAACCACTCAGCTCAGCATGTGAAACCACCCACCAGAGCCAACCTGGAAAGGGGATTTCTCCTCCCAACAAACACTCTGCAACGTTGCTTGTCTCTGATTCTCTTTCAGGAGTGCAGGACAGGGAGTTACCTTTGAAAGCTCATCCTTGACAGGGTCCAAATCACAGACACAATCACTAGACTCTTCTCAAGGTAGGTAAAACGCGATTGCATAAAAATTTCTTTCTAGAGTCTTTCTTATAAAAAAAATGATACATGTTCTGATTAACTACATCACAGAGTTAGTTATAACAAGAAGCCAGCTTGAAAGGAAAAGGATGTAACTATTCATATACACACATTGCTCTGTCTTTCTTATAATTTTTAACACTTTGATAAATATTTCTGTTTGTTTGTTTGTTTACGACATTTAGATCCTACCAAAACTAGAAAGATCAAGACAATTGTCGAAGAAGTAGTGGATGGAAAAGTTATTGCATCCCATGTTAAGGAAGTTGAAGAGAAGATATAAGGCACAATCTGATACTGCAAAGGATCCGATTATTCCACATTTTTGCAAAGCCAAAATGGAGAAATACTTCTGTTCTTCTGTATGAAGTGATGATAGATTGTCTTTTTACTAAGGTTCTTTCACACACAGCAAAGCTGCCTTGTCGTTCATTTTCTGCTTGGGTACACTGATCTCACCTGCATTATTTTCAGTGTTCTTTCAATATATTAACAATTCTTTGTTCAGTAACTAGAAATATGGCATTTAATTGGCTATGTTTTTTAATAATTTTTAGTAATTAACAGATAAAATAATTTTTGCTATTCTAACCTCATTTCCCCATTTTCTTGACTAATAAAAAGGACTCAGCAAGCTTTAAGATGCCAGTGTCCCTTTATTCTTCATCTAGGACTGCTGCTCCTGATCCATACTGGCCAGGTTGTTGGGTACCTGGCTTTACCACACCCTCTGTGTGTGGCCCAGTGCTCCCCAGGCACTGAAAGGAATTCATCCAACGCTGGAATACATTTCAAAAACTATTTAAATGTGGGCTGAAAGGAACACTTGCTAGATTATAATTAAAATCTATCAATTGAAGAGAGAAGTTTTTGCAAATGGAGCAACCCACGTAGGCTGCAGCAGAGAGGGAAGGGAGGGAGCCTGGGTTGGGGGCCAGCAGTGACGTTGGCCATGGAGCAGTGGCTCATGGCCCAGCTGCCAGAAGGTGGGACCACCACATGATCCTTCAGGTCTGGGATGTGGCTTCCAGATGGCCAACTCAAACACACATTGAAAGGAATTTCATCCACTATGAAATTATGAGCCAACATCCAATCCCCTGACACTTTACACCTAAGCCTTTGTTTGTGAGCCAAAATGGTCACAATTTTTGTGTGACTCTCAGGCAAGACAAGGAAGTCACTGGGACCTCTTACAGATATCTTACTGTGTCTCTGGAATACAAATGTTGTGCATGTTCTATCACAGTCTCAAACTTGACCCAAACTGGAAGTTGGATGGGAGCACAGGTTTCATACTGTGCTTCCACTCTGCCTTTAGTAAAACCCACTGCTAACACTCTTCCTGCTTCTAGCCTCAAACCAATAAAAGCCAGGGTAATTAAAGCAGCAAACAAAGAACTCAGTCACAGAATCACAGAACCAGCATAGCAGGATCACAATATCATATTTCTTTCTTATACATATTTTTTTTCTGATATGTGCAAAACCTGAAACCACATCATCTTCCACATTACTGACAGCATCTCCATTTTGAAAAGAGAATGTCTCTTTTGTCTTCTCCTTCCAAAGGCATATACATTTGCAGAATAATCAAATACAAAGAAATACAAAAGAATGCACATACCTTGAGGCCTGCAACTGTGATTGCTGTGAAATCATGATTCACTCCATCATTCAAGGCAGATTTCCACTGAACAATCATGTAGTTTACACAGACATTAATCCTGAATTTAACATTATGATCTAAAAGATGACTTGGAATTGCCTAGGGTGTGGTTCTGATGTATGGAAAATCTAGAAACCTCTCCAGCTACTGTCTTCTGAGAAGGCATCAGCCCAAGCAGTTTGTCATCGCTGTAGCTCTGTCATACTGCATCACAGAACCCAAATAATTGTTGCACAGTATCTGAACTATAAAGTGAACTCAAATCTAACACCTGTAATAAACTGTGAACATTGAGAGTAGCTAGAATTTAAAATTATGTCAGTCCTAGTAAAGATACAAATGCTTACACTCACTGACCCTTGGCCTTCATGGGTCTCGTAGCCAGATGTTCCTTTTACACCTAAAAAAAATGATGGGAAAGGAAAGCATTAGTGCCATTTTGGTTTTTTAAAAGCTTTTAACAATTACATAAGCTGGCAAATGTTTAGCTCCTGGTAATATGAAGGTTCATCCACAGACGCTTGTTGATGCATCAGGTTTGGTCTGCAGAACAAATCCAATAGCCCTGCAGAGCTCCACGTTGTATGTCCAACTGATCCATCTCTGGACACTAGACAGCCTCGACTTCTCCTGCTGTGAACAGAAGCAGTTCTGGGTGCCAGGAACGGGAGCAAACTATAAACAATTGCTATTGCACTGCAAAGAGAAAGGGAGATTTCAAATTACATTTCAAGTTCTTATTTGCTTAAATACATTGGCTCTTCCTATAAATGACTATACTGGCCCAAGGGATAATATCTCAAGTTTGTTTGATGGATTCATGGTGGTTTTATTATGTCACTGTTCTCACACCATCCACGAAATCACTGTCAATATTTTCATTTTAGAACTACATAAAAGTGGAATAATTAAGGTACTTGTAGAAAAGCTAGTGGACAACAAAATATCCTCATCTCAGTCCAGGTCAGCTGAAAAACAGTCAGCTAGGGAAAATAAACTCAGAACACAAGATCTTTTTGCATGTGCCAGTGGACAGAGCCGAGAACAAGGAAGCTTTATGCACACAAGGAGACTTTCAAGTGGTATAATACTTTGACTTCTAAAAAGATGAATGTCTTGTAAAAGTTCACTGCTTTTTTTTCCTCATTTTACTGAAGTGTATTTTTATTTGGAGCCTAAAAATGCATTCCACCTCGTGAATTATTATTTTTTACTGAAAAATGATTTTTTTTACTAAATATCTGGTATTGTGCATTACTGAAAAAACTTTGAAAAACAGGTCAGAACCACCCTGAGCAGAAAAAGTCATTGGGATCATACAATAGCTACAGTGGGCCAGGAAATGAAGAATTACCACCATGGCGCTGGGTGTTGGGATGGCCAGGAGCCATCCTCCTTTCCAAACAGGACAGCCCCCAGCACTAAATGAGGTGAGTCGCCTGGGGCTTCACCTGGCCGAGTCTCAAATCCTTCAGGGATGGAAATTGTGTTCCCCTCCTCAGCGCCGCTCTCCAGTGCTGCACAACTGCCCGGTGGAGGCACATTCCAGCAGACAGCACCAGCACAGGTATACTGCTGGGAATCCGCTCCCTCCCCTTCCCCCTGGCTTGCACTCCCATGCTGGACAGCTCTAATTTTGTGCTTTGCTTTCTCAACCTCACACATTAGAGGTTACAAAACCCCAGTTCTAGTGCAACAAAACCATACAGACATCGTATATACTCATTTCAGCAGGGAATTAGAGCCACCGCTCGAACCGCTGCGGGAACGCAGACCCCGCACTGTTTTCGGCACGCCTGGAAGCTTCCGCGCCGCTGGGGCTGAGGCTGCGCGGCTCCGAGCGCGGCT